AGAAGTAAAACGATCTCACACTTCAACCAAATGCAGAAACCGGGATCCACTCGGCAACCTGTAGTACAATCGTACACAAACCACACTGTGGTGATAGGACAAAAAAGAGTGCACGTTCCGCCACGCAATTTGTTGCAGATCCCCGATCTCCTGAATCGGTGCTACATGTTGTGCGACTCACTCCTGCCGCTAACATAGAGCCGGCGAAGCCGGTGGTCAAAGTTTCTAGAAATATCAACAAATAGATATCTTTATGTTTCTCTTTGTTTCTTTCTCCTTATTTTCTCTTTCTCTTTCTCTCTCGCTCTCTCTCTCTCTCTCTCTCTCTCCTCTCTCTCTCTCTCTCTCTCTCTCTCTCTCTCTCTCTCTAGCGCTCTCTTTGGTTCTCTTGGCTAACTCGTTCTCTTTCACTTTATCTTTCTCGTTATATATCTATTTTCTGTCTTTTTTTGTCTTTACTTATCTTGCTTTGCTCTTTATCTTTCTCTTTCTCTTTCTGTGTCTCTCTCTCTCTCTCTCTGTCTCAAATTCTCTCTCTCTCTCTCTCTCTCCAACTCTTTCTCTTTCTGTGTCTCGCTCTCTCTCTCTCTCTCTCTCTCTCTCGCTTTATTTGTTTTCTCTCCTCTCTGTCTCTCCTTTTGTTCTGGCTCTCTTGTTCTCTCTGGCTCTCTCTGTCTCTCTCTCTGTTTTTTTCTCTCTCTCTCTCTCGCTCTATCCCCTCTCCTCGCTCTCTCTCTCTGTAGTTATTTCTCTCTCGCTCTCTTTGTCTAAAGGAAAGCCCTAGCGCCATTTTGGGGGTCCGATTCCCAAAAACACACCCAACACACCGACGGTGCCTTTTTCCGGGTCGGATTCCTGTGCTGTCAGCCGCATCTGACCGGATCGAATCGACGGGACGGGGCTTGGCTGAAATTTCCCGAGTCGGGTCTCCCCCCCCCCATGAAGGGGGTTTTCAACTTGGGCAAGGGATTAAGAAACCTTCACCAGGACAGGCTTGATAAACTTACCCACAACAAGTTCCAGTTTGCGAACTGAAAACCAAGCTGAAATTCCCCCTAAACATCTTCTGCGAGTTGACATAAAAAGCGGTCCCCCACAAGCAGATTCCTGCTGCACAGGATGGCTTTCTGAAGTTGTTAGTGCTTCAAGTCACCGCCATGGTAAGTAACCAGAGGAAACCTTCATGCAAATCCAGGAGGTTGAACATATCGAAACACCCTGATTCCCTACGGTGCCAACTGGAAGGTCCTTTACAACAAACGCAAGAAAAGACAACTAGCCGAAAAGCCCAGACGCAGAGCCACCCTGTCGACATGCCCCCATGAGTGGCCTCAGAGCAAGGGCTCTGGGCGCGTTGGAACGCTGCCTCTTTGGCAGCCTTGGCCAGGGAAGGACAACTGACATCCCCGGGCACCCATTGTCGGAGCTTTAGTCTAGCCTGTTCGAAATCATGGGGGCCGAATCCGGAGCGCTTCTCTGTAATCCGTGCGAATGATTGGGATCTATTCTGCAAACAAGCTAGCCAGGTAAGCGTCTGATTAATCACAAAGCATTGCAGCACACAATAGGCCAAGTGACATGTCGATCAACCTCTAGATGGTCCACTGGGAAAATACTCCATGTATGATTGGACCCGGAGAGCAATCAAACACTGGCAACAATCCTCGACCTCCCGCGGCCGTGGGCACCCACCCCTTTGTTGCGAATTAAAGGAAGCCCCCCGCAAAGAAAAGAAACAAACGCCCCACTGGAGGTCTGGGTAATGAGCCAACCGAGGAACGCTCTTCAAAAACTTGCGCACACACGCACATGTTGAAGCCCAAGTCGAGCACTATGTTGACTCAAAGCTCGGGGTTGGACAAGCAAACAGTTTTACATTGCAGCCACCACAGAATAAAAACAAACACACAGTTAGACAAGTTGCAAGTTTGGACTTGGATATGATTAATTGCCACCAAAGAAAACAACTAATGACGGAGCTGCCTACTTTTTCCTTCTCTGTTAGGCTTTCCCGAAATTTGAAGGACTCTCAAAAGCTCGCTTGCGCAAGGGGCCTGGACATGAACTAATTGGACTTTGAGAACCTTGAACGGAAACGCGCAACGAGTAAGGTCGGCTTGTGAATAGTTTGCCGTGCGATGGGATAGAAACTTGATCCCTAAACTAAATGAAATGCAACCTGGATCCAGCGCTCGGACTTGGTCAGAATGCATCAACATGCCCCAAAAGCAAACAAATCTGCTTTGTGGGGGACACATTTTTGGAACCGCGTCTCATCTGTCTCCAAAAGAAGCGCTCTCTACATATTCATTCTATTTTAGTACAGAACCTTGATTTGCTGGATACTCTTGATGACTTTGCCAATTTGCGGATTTGTAAGCATTACACAAGGCCGCGTCAAGGGGCCCGCAAAGCGGCCGTAAGGGAGCCGGAACTCAGAAAGGGTCTGACCTCCGCACGTTCCACCCGTCACGTTGAAGACACCGTGCAAAACGGGCCAACAGCAAGGGTTCACGCGGGCGCAACCCCCGTTTCAGGCTGAAGCCCTTTCGTCTCCCGGGCGCCCTCGCTTGTGCTCTCGCCAGAAGGGATCTGAGCCGCGAAGCCGGGCGGGTAGAAAAACACCCCTGTCTTTGTTTTTACCCCACCAGAATACGTCTTCATGTTCGAGAGGGACTGGAGCTCTCACTGTGTCCATTGACATGCGGGTTTGCATATGTTTGCATCCAAGTATGGCCGCTGCAGCGCATCTTTTCCTTCAAACGTACATACCTCCGTGTCTCAAAATGAAGCCCCTCAAAATTGGCTTCGGGTGTCCTTTACAGTATTCCTGTTTGACAAGTACCAAGGGATGACCAAACCTCAAGAAGCTCCTTGTAAACAGGAGGGACAAAAGCAAACTCCCATCTAACGATGGGTGTTGGGTTGGGAGCATTGAGCGACCCCAAGCCTCTTTTTTCTGAAGACCCGATCAACACAGAAAACCAAGAACTGGGCGGGGCCCATTGAAAAGAACAATCATTTTCCCAGGAAGCCAACGATTAAAGGCTAAATCAAAGAGCAACCGGATTGAAGCATGGGCCAACCATTTTGAGACAACCCAGGCCCAAGTCCTTCGGTGATGACCTCATTTCACTCTTCGGAAAGATGACCCCAAGCCCCCTACCCTGCCAATGTCCGCCGATGCTGTGATACCAATGTAATGTGGTATTGCCATCCCCAACTACGGGATGGCCCCGTAGAACTTGGCAACGTGCCTATTCCCAGCATTAGTTTCTCCCCAAAGCACAACCTCCCCCCCCCTTTTCCCGACGGGTGCAGGATCAAAAAAAAAATACGGGTTCAAAAAGAAATTTATCGACACCCGAATCAAACACAACCTATTTACAGGATCAAAAACAAATTATCTCGCCTGGGGGTGCCAAAACGCTAATTTACATCATTGTCCGGCAACAGCGCGCGCATTTTACGGCTCCAGCTGAAAAAAAGGCACGTTCCAATACAAGCGCAATACGCGAAGGTCACTATGGCAGCTCCAGCTCGAAAATCACAACTTCTCAGATACAGGCGCAGTTCTATCAACGAATCTAGCATCGGTTCAATGCTTGTAGGGTTGGCTTAAGGTTGTGTAGGGTTAATGTAGATTGGGTTTCGGGTGGGTTTGGGTTGGCTTAGGTTGGTTTAGGGTTGGCTTAGGATAGGCTTGGGGCGGGTGTAGGTTTGGCTTAAGGTCTGTTTAGGGCGGGTCTAGGGTGGGATTAGGGAGGGTTTAGGGTTTGTTTACCGTGGGTGGATTTAGGTTGGTTTAGGGTGGTTTTAGATTGGCTTCGGGTAGGTTTAGGATTGTTTTGCGGGTTGGTGGGCTTAGGGTTGGTTTAAGATGGGTTTAGGGTGGGTTTAGGGTGGGTTTAGGGGTGGTGTAGGGTTGGGTTAAGGGATGGTTTAGGCTGAGTTTACGGTGGTGGATAAGTGTAGGGTATGATTAGGGCAGGTTTAGGGTTGGTTTACGGGTGGGTTTGGGGTTGGCTTAGGTTGGTTTAGGGTTGGTTTAGGTTGGGTTTAGGGTGGTTCTAGGTTGGCTTCGGATAGGTTTGCGGGTTTAGGATTGGTTTAGGGTTGGTTTAGGGTTTAGGGTTTAGGGTTACCCTAAACCCAACCTAAACCTATCCTACGCCAACCTAAGTCCACCCACCGTAAACAAACCCTAAAACGTCCCTAAACCAAGCCTGAACCCACCCTAAACAGACCCTAAGCCAAACCTACACCCGTCCTAAGCCAACCCTAAACCCGCCCTAAACCTGCCCGAAACCTACCCTAACTTATCCTTAAGCCAACTCTAAGCCAATCTTCAAGCCCCAAACCAAACCTAACCCCACTCTAAACCAAGCCTTAGCCCAGCCTAAACCATCCCTACACCAACCCTAAAGCAACCCTAACCAAACCTCACCCAACCCTAAACCCACCCCTACTGACCTTCAACCAACCCTAAACCCTAAACCAACCCTAAGCCTGCCCTAATCATACCCTACACTTATCCACCACCGTAAACTTAGCCTAAACCATCCCTAAACCAAACCCGACACCAACCCTAAACCCAACCTAAACCTATCCTTAGCCCAGCCTAAGCCATCCCTAAACCAACCCTAAAGCAACCCTAACCAAACCTCATCCAACCCTAACCCTACTGACCTTCAACCGGTTTTAGGTTGGCTTCGGGCAGGTTTAGGGTTGGGTTAAGGGATGGTTTTGGCTAAGTTTACGGTGGTTTAGGGTAAGTGTAGGGTAGTTTTAGGGCGGGTTTAGGGTTGCAAACAAAACAGAAGGACGCCAGCAGACCAGGAGACCAGGACATGAAAAGACCAGGAGACCCGGAGACCAGCAGACCACCGGACCAAGACCAGGAGACATGGGGACCAGGAGACCAGGAGAACCAAAATGCAGAAAATCAGGAAACCAGAAAACTAGGCTATTTTTTGATGCTCATCCCTTTCCCGGCGCTCCTGGCTCTGACGGGACTCCCACTGCTGCAGGCGCTTCAAAAGCTGCGCCTGGAGCTCCCAGCTTGAGCTTTGTTGGTGTTTGTGCATGTGAGTCACCCGTGTCCCTTCCAAAAAACTGACCATACATTGCATGGACAGCTCACTTCCCAGGGTGGAAGCCGTTGCAACCCCCGCTCGTTTGGGTGAAGAGAACGGAATTGCAGGAAGCACTGGGCCGCTCGAGCGATTTGTCCAATCAAGTCTTCACAGAGTTCTTGCCAAGGGCTAAGAATATTAAACCAACAGGACGAGCCGTGGCGGGCGCCCCGGCGGAACCGGGACCGCGCCGCGCCGTCCAGCAGGCTCTCGCAGACTGTCGCCTCCATAATGGCGTTCTTCTCCTTGCGTCGGGCAAGTGGAAAATACTCTCCCTCCCTCTAATATGGCACATAGGGGATGCCTTTTAGAGGAAACTGATCCGGGATGCTCCAGCACTAACTCTTCACGTTCACAAGTGACAACGACACCCAACCAATGGTTCCGAGCAACGGGTAGCAACGGTTGCCTGGTATAAGCAACACATCCACATGAAGCGCAGAATCTTCTTGGCCTTTCACGTCTTGGGCCGGGAATGATATTTAAACTACCTACAAAAAGAGGCCCGGGTTGCCCAGCTTGTTTTGGGAGGAGCACCTGCTTGGTTGGTGTTGCCGGGAAACCAAAATGAAGACCACCACGCTATATCAACAACAACTCTTTGCGGCACACCCTTGCGTCCCTGCGATGAACATCATGTACGTGGGTTTTTACGTCCACTTAGCACTTGTTCATTCCTTTTGCAAACTCCTAACCTGAGACAAACCCAGGTGAAACTTGCGCAAGATAGCCCTTTGCATGTCTTTTCGAAGGGCGCCCTTTCTTTGTGAACAGCCCTCGAGTGGCATTTTTGTCTAGCGACGCTTGTGCGGGTATGTCATCTATCAACTTGGCCAAGCCCCGAAGGATCCTGCCTTTGTCCCTCCTGTCGTCATGCCGCGCCGCCGCGCTGCGGCTGCGAGCCCCTGAATCCGATCGATCCATCCTCGGAAGGCCAGTGCGAGGAGAATCTCCGAAGGGGGCACTAAAGGACACACGCGCTCGACCCTTGAACATTCAGCGGGTTCCATTTTTCCAAGTAAGTGGGCCACTGAGACATGTCAGATGAGACCCCGCCGAATGAATGTCTTCCGCTTCTTGTCGATGCTTCGTCAAGGACGTTAGGAACCTCTTGTATAGCCAAAGGACATCGGGTGGAGGGTATCGTTTTTATAACCCTATCGTTTTACAGGGCCTTGCGTTCACCGTTTCACGTAAAATCAAAGTACACTTTGCCAGCTTAAAGGCGCAACTTCTCAGTACAAGTGTAGTAAAGCTTTAGAAAGCACACTTTGGCAGCTCCGGCTTGAAAGTCGCAACTTTTCAGTACTAAACAAAGTGCGCTTTGGCAGCTCCGGTTCGAAGTCACAACTTTTAAGTACAAGTGTAGTAAAGAAAGAGCACTTTGGCAGCTCCGGCTCGAAAGTCGCAACTTTTAGGGAATGTTCAATGGGGGCTTGTCAAAAAGATGGCCCCCATGGGTCGCTGGTGCCGGTTCAGGTGAGGTGCCAACCGAAAACCGAACCTAACGGTTGAATCGAGGCGAGATTTGATTCCCAACGGGTGGGGCCTATAGCGAATGTACAGCTGCATGAAAGGCTCCCCAAAAGGAAAAAAAGAAAAAAAGTAGAGTGCAAATGTGCATGAGTTCAATGTGGAGGAAGCTCATTCCCCGATCCAATTTCCCAAGCCCAAATGATGCCAGGCGTTTACACGCTTGAACCCCTCTCCCCCTCTGATGGCGCCTGCCATCTGAGCCTTTCAAACTCCTGAGGCTGCTGGAAAATGCGAGCCAGGGAACCCCTTCGCGGATGCCAAAAGCGACAGGTACCTTCGAAGGATGGGTTTTCTAGGCAAATACCCGTCGGGCGCAGAACCCAACCACTATGAGAATGCTCAGCAACCCGAAAGACTACAGTATTAACTGGTTCCAAACATCCCCTGCATCATTGGCGATGAAAAAACATCAAGGCTACTTATGGGACATTTTTGAAGCATACTACGTTGGGCTTGCGCGGCATGACCGAGCTGTTGCTATTGTTGACCCCGGACTAATAACCTGTCCTATTCATTGGTGGGGATTCATGGCTTTTGGAGGGAACACCCCCAAAGTAGAATAGAACGGGTTTATTCATCCGGTCACCATGAATTGGGGTTTGGGGGAGTGTCCCCTGCAAACTCAGAACAAACTTCAAATACCCGTTGAGGCTTCTGTTTGGCTGTGTAAGAGGGTCAAGGTTGCAACTCAGAAAGGGGAAATGGTGTGAATTCGAGTTGGGGACCCTTTGGTGGACATTGACCTGGAGATTTGTGTGCCCTAACCATGTGCGGACTCAGACCCCAGCGAAAGTGCTCTTCTCACAAAAGAGATGCATAGCGCACAGATGTGCAATAGATAGAAACCAATCTATGTCACTACTCCACAGCTAGGCTTCTTACCCTCGCATCTTCGCATGCCATCCATGCGCCCCTTTCGTCTGAAGCGCAATCGCGCAGAAGCGCTTCCAGTCCACTTCCATGTTTGTTGGTACAATCTATTGGGTTAAACAAAAACTGACCCCAACCCCTAAGGCCCCATTTTTGGTTTGGCTCGAACCGGGAAATGAGAAGAAGAAGAAGAAAAAGACATATTAAATACACAAAGCAAACATGTTCCAGAAAACGTCTGGTTCCTCTGCGTCACAAACCCGCCTCGCAATCCAAACCTGGCATCCAAGAAGTCCAGCTCCCCAAAACCATTTGGGGGCGGGGGGGAGGGGGGTTGGGGTTTTCTGAAGGGCAGGTCTGAACCGATTTGTCGGTGTCTTTTTTCAAGGTGTCCCTTCGTGGTTTTACAAGCAAAAAGGATAATCGAAGCCATAATTATGGGACTGAGAAAGACACTCATGTCTGGCCTGGGGCTTTCTTTCCCTTTACCTTCACCCGGATATTGATTCTGGCTCAAATGATGTGCAAAATTGGGCCATTTTCATTGAGGTGCAACAAGACACCCTGTCCTAGGGCATTGTGACAAGAACATAAGATGATGTCGAACCAAGGCAACCACGGCCAAAAAGTTGCTGTTTGTTGAGGCCCCCCACCTTGCTTCTTGATGCCCCCCTGAAAATATATCAAGGCGGGAGAAAAATATGCCCTTTAGGCCACACCCATGCAGCGTGCCGTCGGGTTCTAAGCGAGACGAAAGGGAGAAACCATTCAAATCTCAAACTGGGTGAGTAGAGTGGGGAAACCCTGTCAAACACACCCGTGGTTGGCATGGTTTAGGGTAGGGAACCAAAGGGGGACCAAACGGAAATGAAAACCAAAAAAACAACAACTAGAAACCAACCAGAAACTGGGAAATCAACTGGAAACCAAGATACACCAACTGGAAACCAAGGGAGACCAAGAAAAACCAAAATGAAACTAAACAGAAAACCAACGGATACCAACGGAAATCAACGGAAACCAACGGACTGCAAGGAAAACCAAGCGGATACCAAGGAAAACGAACGGATACCAAGGGAAACCAAAGGATACCAAGAAAAACCAACGGACAGCAAGGGAAACCAACGGATACCAAGGGCAACCAACAGATACCAATGGAAAACAAACGGACTGCAAGGAAAACCAACAGATACCAAGGAAAACCAACGAATACCAAAAAACACCACACCAAGGGGAACCAACGGATACCAAGGGAAACCAATGGACAGCAAAGGAAACCAAGCGGATACTAAGGGAAACCAACGGGAACCAAGGGGAACCAACGGATACCAAGGGAAACCGACGGACAGCAAGGCAAACCAACGGATACCAAGGGAAACCAACGGATAGCAAGAGAAACCAACGGACAGCAAAGGAAACCGAGCGGATACCAAGCCAACGGACAGCAAGAGGAAACAACGCAAACCAAGGCAAACCAACAAACAGCAAGGAAATCTCACCATTCTAGGACGTCGGGCGTCTCCCCAAAGATCTCCGAGGCGTCCTGCGAGAAGGCGCCAGTAGCCACACCCCCGGCGGCCGCGGTCGCAGCCTGGCCGTTACAACGTCCGACACCAAGCCCAAGGGTGCGACGCCTATTTTGTGCTCAAAATGGTACCCGCAACTCCCGAAATGCAGGGGACAGCAAGAGATTTCGGCGAGAGCGGCCAGCCAACAAGCCAAATAAATAGGCCCCAAAGTGGAAAGAAAAGTAAAAAGGAACCGCTCCCCATCTGCCACAGCCGTGCTCTGAGAACAGCGCCGCGGCGCCCGCTGCCAAGACCGGCATGATCGCAAGTTGCCTGCGAGGTCGCGATGTCTCAGCGTATGCCAACTTGGATTAGATTTGGCGGGTTGGCCACTCGTCAGCCCAGTTGCAACCCGTGATGGTGGGAAAACTCGAAAAAATACCGCTGGTCTTGAACCTCACTTAGCCGCAGCATTTGCCTACTTGCCTACCTTCCTGGTTACTTGCCAACCTCACAACCAAGTATCCAACTGGCAACTCGCACATGCCGAAACTGGACCCCCGCGCAAGAAGCGCTGGACGATCCAAGAGTGGGGTGCCCAAAGAGCGGTTGACCCCCCATACATTGTCCTGGAGCCGACTGTCCATGCAACAAACCCTTGTGGCAAATCCGATTTTTTGCAGGTAGATACTAACCCCGAACATTTCTTGAACAAGAGGATCTAAACAATCAGATCAACGAGCTTTGGTTTGCGCTTTGTAGATCCCAAACAACCCCCGTCCTTGTGTGGCATTTGCATAAAGATCCTCCATGCTTGTTGGAAACAGACCTGGCTTCAAACCCAAGCCATGTGTCACCTTTTTCCCTCTATTCTCCACGCAGCCTCCCCAACAGCTCCAAGTTCGTTTGTACCAACAAGAATTCACGGTACTTTGGTCTCCGGACGTTTTCGGTGGACATCGACCAAAAGCGAAACCCCGAAACCTGCCGCAGAAAAGTTGTCACACTTGTCGCTCGGCCCCGGACGTATCCATCTCCGGCTGGGAATGCTCAAATGCTCGAGGCGGAGACTTGCGGGCAGTTGGGCAGGCAGTCGTGCAGTCAAGCAACGTGCCTGGAAAATGCTTTGTGAAGCCACCATGGTCAGTGGACCGGGATGGAAACCATGAGCATCAGTTTGTGCAAGGAAAACATGATCTGAGGGCTCAGCGTTTGAGACCTCTGCCTTCACTGGAGTTCACTGAGGATCAAACGAAACATTGCGCTGCTATTCTTACCCAAGCGAACTCTGCCAAACAGAAAGTCATGCAACCTGAAAGGGACCCCCCAAAAGTCCCCTCTTTCAGCTTCCATGTTTACTTTGAGATGGCAACACGGAACCCCCAAGAGGATCCAAAAGCCCAATGATCTCCTTCCGGTTTCCTTGCACAACCGATAGCAAATTGGTCTCTTCCATGGGTCTCATTCCTCAATCCCAGCAACAAGAGAAAAACGTGAGAAATGGCTCACGGGCTCAAGGCAAATGAGCATTGCCTGCGACATGGTTGCTTTCAGTGAATACCCTCCTGCCTTTCTTTTGGGTGCAACGTAAATTTGGAGGAAACCAGAAGCTGTCCAAAGCCTTTGTCGCGCGCTAAGAGCCATGTGCCAAAAAAAAGTGGCCCCAAAAGTGGTGTTGTGTGTATTGATTCCCTTTGATCCAACCTCAAAAAGCTCAGAAAAGCACAAGCCCAAATTCATCTCCCCAATCGCCGACGAGTTATCGGCCACTTGTGTGAGACAGGGGTTCTTGGGGCGCCTCTTGGCCCTCGACTAATGTACACCTCTCCGTGCGGGAAGGTTGCGACTTCCACAGGAGTCGACATGTTGGCCAACAGGATGCAAGTCGGCAAACTCTGTGCAAACCAAAACAACAAAGCCCCCGTTGAGTAAATTTAGCCATTACGGCCATCAATCATCCTCTTCTATCGACTCCTGGTCATCGAACTGATCTAAGTCTTCCCCATAGGAGCCATCATCACCAGCGCTCTGGCAAGGGTTCAAGCAATGAAACTACCTTGTATTGCAAGTCTCAAAGCTGAGCAGGAGATGATGCCAAAGCACAGGACCGATTTCCAGGGAAGACATCCATTGACCAGTTGTTCCACGACCTCCTTTGTTGGACGGGGACGGGCTGGGCGACTCGAGCGGCGCCATGGGGGGCGGCGGCGCAAGGGGCGCCGCCTCTGGGGACGCCTGCAACTCGACGGACGGGGGCTCGGCGCCCTTGGATGCAGAATGCGGCACGCTGGGCGCACTTGGCGCGCTGGGTGCGCTGGGCGCAGTGAAAGCAGTGGGCGCAGTGGGAGGGCCAGGGGCGCTTGGCGCGCTGGGCTTGCTAGGTGCAGTTGGTGCCAAAGACATCGACGAGGCCATGTTGGCCTCCGGCATCCGCGAGCGCGAAGGTTTCTGCGCCGCTGCCTCGATGCCTCGATCGCCTCCAGCAGGTCTTGGAGCGGCGCCTGCCAGGGCTGCAAGCATGGTCCTCCTTTTTGGGCCCAACTTTTGGAAGCCCCGGCATGATCGTCTCTCTTTGTTTTTTGGGGGGAGGGTTGGGGGGTTGGGTGGAGGCTTGGGTGGGAGGGTTGGGAGGGCCGAGCCACCTCGGCTTCTCCCTTCAACTTTTGCCCCACCTCCCATCTCCTCACTCAAAGGAGGCCAGGTTATACTTTCTGTGATTCGGGCACGAGCCTGTGCCCATGCAATGGGTTAGTTGGGGTAAACAAGCCACAAAAGAAAGGTTCCCCAAAAGCAAACCAATCCCCGGTCCCAAAGATCAGGGTTTCCCACACACCAAAGAACAACAACCAAAAGCAAACAAACCAAAAGAGAAAAGGGTTAACCCGCAACCTTGATCGACAACAGGCCGCACGACTGGTCCCTACCAACCTGGCGGCGGCCCGAGGTCTCTTTCTCCCCCGAGAAGCCGTCGGTCGACGCAGGGGCTCGGCGACGCCCATTCGAGGCGCGACGGAACCCGTAAACTTGAGCCAAAACACCACAGGTCGGTCACTACCGCGACGTCCCTGATGATGATATGAACCATGGCTAATCACACCCCCCTCACGAGGAGCCCGTCATATGACGGGTGGAGCGTGCCATTTACTGATAGGATTTAACTGCTCGCATGTGTCCGCAAACAGCTGGACACTACCGCCGTCAGCGGTGGAGCAAACCCACAAAGGCAGTTGCGCGACGTCCCGGGCATTAAAATCCCGCCACCACCCCGAATTAATCGGGGTAACGCTGTCCAACATACCTTGTGGAAGAGTCCACATGACGGCAATAGGCCACAACTGTTTGCATCAACAATGCAAGAAGTTCAATTCTTATCAGAAGCCATGAAACAAAGGGTAACGAATGTTCATCAGTACCCTCGCCTATCGGCAAGAGGTACTCCCGACCATGCGTACCTGAAAAATGCTTGAATTCCGCAAACCTGGGATAATCCCCCACCAGTTTGCTTCCCCTCTCACTCACACTACTTCATGGTGAGCACAACCAGCAGCCGAGCAGCGGTACGGGAGAGACACGATCTCCGCGCCTCAGCGGTTCGGGAGGAACATCATCACCTCCGCACCGCGCCGACCATCGGAGAATGGACGCAAGCCTATCGGCCGCAATCCTCGTGACTCAGCCTATCGGCTATCGTCACGTCTCCTCCAATCACGTCCGCCCCGCGCACGGTCCCTATCACGATCCCTCTCGGATCTCCTGCGATCATCTCGCCTTCGATCCTGCTCCCGATCGAGCGAGTCATCATCACGACGATCTCGAGCATCGTCCCTCCTCCGGTCACGAGCTTTGTCACGCCGCGGACGATATCTGCGCCTTCTTGACTCTCGGGAATCCCTGGTGTCCACGGTCCTAACGGACCTCCGAGAAGGAGTGCGGGAAACGTCCGAGTCCCGGCGAGAGTTCGTCACGATCTGATTGAGAGCCTCCAGTGCTGAAGCGTTCTCACCATTCCTGATGAAATCTCTGACCTGCTTATTCAGCACCCTATTGGTGGAAATCGACAGGAAGGCGTCCACCACTGAACTCTCTGGCAACACCAGGAAATGACCCTCCACCGGGCTCGCTGCAGCTCGCTCAGCCGACTGCAACCTGATCTCACCACCTTCAGGCTTCTTTGCCATTGCCTTGGAGGCCGTGGAAGGCGCTACCGCGTCCTTTGCCGAAGACCTACCAAGCGCGGAATGAAGATCATCTCCACTAGCCTCTCTCGCTGCCGCACCTGGCCTGCTGTCAACGTCATCAGGCCTCGTTGATGCCTCCCGCTTCGTCGGCTCCTTCACAGTCTCGTCGGGATCCCAACGGAACTTCCTTTCTCTCTTCTGCCCTTCAGCCGACCCCCGACTATCGCCGGGAGCGTCGTCTCCGCCTACCTTCTCCTTCTTGACCTCAACCTTCGGGTCGGCCTGCTTCGTCTCCTTAGGCTCAGCCTTCGGGGCTGAAGCACTCTTCGCCTCAGAAACTGAAGCAGCCTTTCCCTTCGGCTCGGCCTTTGGGACCGGAGTCATCTTAGCCTTTGCACTTGGCCGGGCTCCTTCAACCGCTATCGCGACCCAAGTCTTCTTCGGTTGAGCCGCAGGTGTATCAACCTCCATCGGAGCCGGCCCAGCATCAGCCTTTGCTTTTGCCTTCGGAACGGAGGGGCTATCGCCCTTACCAGACCCTTTTCCTGACACGTCTCCTGACTTCGGTGGTGGGCCGGAAGGACTACCGCCCTTACCGCCCTTCTCTCCTTTCTTCCCTTTTCCTTTTCCGCCCTTGACGATCGGCTCCTGCTTAGGACCAGGACCCTGTGCAGCATGATGCACCGACTGGAGCTCGTCAACATTCACATTCAATGGCTCCGGTTGACGACCATCAAGAACCGTCCTCACCCTTTCGTCACTAATTAACGTAGACGAATGGGTCACGGAAGGGGGCAGGAGGCTCTGATTGCCCAGCACTGATCGCCTTCTGCACCTTGGCTACCGCCTCCCTCAATCTCTTCTTCTCATGGTATCCCGTTGCTGAGACCATGTGTTTCCTGAGATCCGCTATCAATGCATGGCTAGCCAGGATGTCCACGTCCTTCCTGTGGGTTGGATACAAGGGAGTCAGGTGACCCGCCGCAGCACCAATCACGTACGCCATCGGGATATAGAAGGACAAATACGTGTCATGACGGGCGAACTTCCTAACGGAAGTCGTCATACGTCTACCCCACTGAGCCGCATGCATCGGGCTCGCTCGGAAGTACTCGGTCACCGACTCAAATCTATCGACTTGATTGGTCTTGATCAGGTGCTTTGCCACCCACTTCTCCCACGAATGCATCCGAGGTCGAAATCCCCGACACATAGGAGAACTGAAAGAGCACCTTCGCCAGTTCATCCCACGCCGCATCGACTCCTCCCTTGTCCTCACCAAGATAAGGGGGCAGCCGGATGCCGCTCTGCACCGTCATCCTCAGGTCAGACGCCATCGAATAGGAAATCAAGTTCCTCTTGATAACTCCGACCACATCGGATGCGATCCTCTTGGGCTTGAACTGCCCCATACTCTTCACCCAGTCCGGGATGATGCGGCACCCCAAGAAGTCATCTTCATCCGCGTTGGGGATGAAGTTCGGGTAGAAGACCGGTAACGCACACCCAGGGCACAAATGCATCCCAGTTGGCGTCATCTCCGCGCACCTCAAACAGAAAGTGCTGGTTACGCTCAACCTGACTTCCGCACGCGTTCGCTTGTGCTCCCCCCTATCGGGAGTGAAGTCACCATAGTCCCAAGCCCGATGATACACTATCGTGTAATCATCGAACATGCACGCAGCCTTCCACGCACCCATGTGGATCTCGTTCCGAACGGCAAGGGTCTTCCTCCTTGTCAGAAATACAGGTCCAACCAGCGACCAATGTACTCGAAGGTCCACCATGACCACCACGTACCTACCCGAGTAGTTCCGCAGCCTGTCCCTGACGTACCACGAAGGCGATACCTCGGCGTTTGGCCTCATAGTTTCCACAATTGGAACCAGGCCCTCATCCTGCCTCCCATCTCCAATCGATTCGTACTCATCGGGCCTTGTGATCAATATCTCGATCATGGCCTTTCCATTCCGTCTCTTTTGGAGCTGGACTGCCTTCCTGAAGTCCAAGAACTTCATTACGACACACCCTACCATAGGAATTTCATTCCAGTGCATCTTGTACATCAGAGACCCGCCAGGTGCATCCTCTTGGGTGTATTTGCCTTACAGAACTGAAACTCATGTCTCGTCCAATCCGCGTGTTCCTGACGGCCACCAACCTGGTGCATTCCCTGAGGAGGATACCATTCTCATCATACATGATCATGAGCATCACCTCAACCTGCCCTATCGGGAAAGCCTTGATCGCCGGAATGAAGAACTTCCACGTCATCTCGGCATTCTCCATGCCCGTGATCTCTCTCAGGAACCAGACAGCCTGGTCACTACTCACCCAGTTTCCAGACGCTCGTCCAGTTTCCTTCAGCACTTTCTCCTCGAATAACTCCGAGACTCTTTTCGAGTTGATGACCAAACCTTCAAAGTCGCACGAGAGCAGCTTCATCAACTCCTGGGCCGCCTCCCGCCCTGCGACGGTGGCCGCGGTCTCCTCGTAGTTCGGAACGTACTCGCTCAACCTAGTCTTTGAGGGGACCACCATCTGGCAAGTGATAGCCTCATCAGGCACAACTCCAGAAGCTCGCAGATCCGGATTGATTTCCTGCCTATCGGCAAGGTAGTCTTTCTTTCCGTCCATTACCACGAGATTGTATGTCATCTTGCTCGCCGCATCACTCGGGCGGAATTTCCTGCTTGTGTCAATCTGGCCGGGCGCAAAGGGCTCAGTGGGAGCGCTCACACTCAGCGAAGGCGCTCCTCGTCCATAACACAAATGCTTCTTGTGAAAGTTTACCATCTCATTCAGCTGCGAGAGGGCATAGGCTCGATCCTCCGGGGAAGCGCTCTTCATCCCAGCCTCGGTGAGAGGAGCTTCAGGCTTGTCATAGCTCGCCTTTCCGCCCCATCTTGCCGCAACCAGCTCAGCAGACTTCGCAGGATCAAGCAAGTTGCCCGACCATTCGGGCATGTCGCTCAGTTTTCTAGTTAACGCGTCTATCGACGCAGTCAAGTCCTCAGTCGTCACGGTGTGAGGATCAACCTTTTCCCTGTCCTCCTGGCCAATGTCAGGAAGCCTAATGTCCCCGCGGATAGCCTCCATCGCGGCCTTCTCGGCCTCCTCAGCCTCCGCTTGCGTGGCCACGGCCCTGGGGATCAAGAGCGCCGCCTCGGCAGGCAACGACTTCTCCATGTCAATCGGAATGTTCTTTGGAAGGATCCTTCGGTCGTCCCCCTCTCCGCTGTACTCATAGGTGGGGGCGGTCTTGCGGTATTCCTTAAAGGTGGCGCCCGAGACGTTGGTCATCTTGCTCGGGTCTGCTTGCC